AATTCCAACTCTTTATTTAAACGTAAGCTTCCCTTTTAAAACTCTGTTCTAGAAATAGCCTATTTGTATCATCTAAAATGTTTTATGTCGTACTTCAATTAAAATGATTAGCGGCATTTTAAAACATCAAAGACAGTTAAACCACTACAAATAATATAACATAAGTTTTCACTCAATCTCGATTGTACTTAGATCCTTGTATTTTGATTGTACCTTTCATTCTCAATAGGTGAAGACATCTTTTCATGGAACAAAAATATAAAGTCATTTTTGTGACTGAAGTTAATTTTGGAACAGCAAAAGCAAATTTGAATGGATTATAAATTTTGACGCCCTCTGGAATCAAGATTCGATTTGTGGTGTAGGCTGCAGTTCCTTTTTATACCCGTATGCAAAAATACACCTTAAATGATCATACATTTTAACATATTTTGAAATCTGATATTTGACCAGAGAGGTACTAATGCAAATAGTAGAGGAACCGAGATGCATGTATCACATTGATCAAACTGATTAAAGTAATGCATATCCAGGTGAGCGAGTCGTTTTGTCGACTATTCAAGTTGTTAAGAGACCAACAGACCACTGGGCGTTTTTCAGTTTTTCTGATGAGCACTGGAATACCAAATACATGTAAAACAAGGCTTGTTGAAGGTCTCTTTGTTTTCAGCCAGATAACTGAACAGAATTACAGGTGGATTAATTTTATGATTCAACATGGTATGAGATGCTATTTGAAGTAGTGTAGTAAGTCCATATAAAGGCACAACTTTATGGAACAACAATCACTGATTAAAATTGTTCGCAATGTTTCGACGTGTTTCATCTGTCGTCATCGTATAAAACGTTAATTGGTGATTGTTGTAGCATAAAGCTGTGTCTTTATATCCTACTTACAACTCCGTTAATGTCATTATCAATACAGATGGGCAAATCATGATAGGGAAACTACGGTATATCCCGGGTCAGGATAAGATATATCTCTAAGAATATATAATAGTTATTTACCGTAAATAAGATAAAGCTGGTGCCACTGTCCCTGTATTATTAACATTCTAGATTATAGATAATATGACATAATAATCATCTTTATAAATATTCCATATTCCTTAATAACCACTTAGGGATGACACCTGTCAAAATTACAGTCGTTCAGTTCACACGCCATCTATATTAGCTATAGCCGAATAGTTGAGGGTGACAAGCTTGCTCAGCAACAGCACATTTCATTGATAACCAAAATCAACAATTTTATCGGCCACCTAAACACGGCTGTTGTGAGGAGGTATATAGAATGGTGGATCATGCCCAATAACGTGAATTACTTCTGATCCTTTAAATGCTTATACCAAAGAACACTACAGAAGAAATGAGGACCACACTAATTCAAACAAAGGGTCCACACTATGACCGAGACGATCCAAGACGATTTTGCAAAGAAAGTCTCCAATGTTACATCTAGAAATCCACAGCCTGAGGAATTGAAAATGAAATAAAAACTCAACAAATATTTAATGAAAAATCAAAATATTGAGAGAAAATATGTACATATTTACAAACATTTACATACAGTTCATTGACAAATCTTGGAATATTCTAAAAAAAAAACTTAATTTGTACTACTCTAGAGACAAAATTTTTCAGTCAAATAACGGAACACAATTTTATGGAATTTAACCCCTTTTTGCACCCGATGACAACGTAAATTGTTGAAACATTGTATACAATAAAACCCAGGAGTAGTATACTATAACATTGTGTTCATTATTTAATGTGATCTCTACCCCTAAATGTCGCTTACGGATAAAACTTGTTCAAGAGAAACATAGAAGGTAATAACTGTTCGTGAATTATCAAGCTATCCATATTGCTTTACGTAACTGTCAGAAGTGCTTCTAATATGTCATTCTTTGACTATTTAAATTAGTGTAAAAACATCAATTATCAAGATCAATAAAGTATTCTGTGTTTCTTGGCATTTTTAACTAATTATTTTAACAGTGCACATAACAGTTAACATTTCAACGTGCACACACATTATAACATCAGATAGCAGTACAAAGACAGTGTAGAAGATAACAACGTTTCGTAGATAATACTGCAAGCGGCGCCATTATTATGCTTCGAGAGCAGTGACACCATATTTGGTTAAAGTTTAACTAACAATATAAATAATGATAATATTGGAAATAAGTTTATATACATCCATATTTACACGGATTACATGACTCAAAGCCGTTAGGGTCTTAATACGAGATAGGCCGAAACCCACAGACATATTGGCTTTAAGAATTAATAATAAAAGAGTTGCACCAAAACCAGAATTTTGACTTCATATTGACCAAAGCAATGAAGTTTAAATGCAAAATTTTGGCTTTAATAACTAACAACAAAGTTGCACCAAAATCGTCAGCATTTTGACTTTAACATTAACCAATGTGACAACGTTTTATATATCAATACAATAAGAATTTCAGGATGTTCCACACAGCATTTTATTACTGATATTTTTAAGGAAAGGATGGATGGATCCATTCTCCATACGAACATAAATTAAGCTGGGTGTCTTGCAAAATTTATAGACCGTCGTCATAAACACAAAAACAGAAGCAAATTTCCATTTTATATCATTTTCTTATGGTGATCAATGGCAGTCAGTGACAGTCTCTAAATCCAGCCTAACGTAGTCGTTATTGTGTCATTTCATTTACCTATTATTGCTGACAAACGTTCGATGGTCATTTTAAAATTAAGGCCTACATTTTCTCCACTGATGGACACTTAGCCAACATTGGCCAACATTTATTTCAAAACCATTGCCTATATATTGGCAGTCGAGTCTTAGCCTATATTATCGCAACTCTTTGAGTGCTCAAGAATAATTTCAAAAGCATTGCAAATATATAGGCAATGGTTTTGCAATCGAGCCTTGGCCTATATTATGGCAACCATTGGGAAATCGACAATAAAAAAACCATTGACTATGTATCTGCAATCTAGGTTTGGCTTCTATTATATTACCACTGAGTGCTTAAGAATAATTTAAATCCATAACCTACATATCAGAGCCGAGTATAGAACGTTAACCTATATTATTGCCTTTTTGAGCACTCGAGGGCAATACGAGCTCGATCATTTCACAACGTCCGTACATTATTTGCTGTTATAAGAACATTCATTAAGAGACAGTCGAAGATTCAGTAATATTATTTGGCGACAATCAAGACAGTTTGGTTCGAATTCACAACCATTTATAATTAGTATTCGTCTACCAAACACCTAATAGAATATATTATACACTTAACGTTATATACGTTCTATTTACACATGTATTGGTCCTTCTCCTGGGTTATACTGTCATTCTTAGCTTGTTAACCTTATGATTTATAGGTTTTTAACACAAGGTTTAGATAAACCAGAATCGTGTTAGGATATTAGATGGGATAAGCCGCATTTGGCCCTCAACCAGAACTGTGTTGAAATATCAGTTGGGATAAGCCACCTTTAGCATTAAACAAGCTAGAAGGGTTAAATCTACCTCCTATTTCGTTGAGATGAAATGAAATCAATAAATGAGGAAAGCAGCTATTTGTAATCTTTGGTTTTTCTAAAATTTCAGCACAAACTTCACTGTATATGAAATACCACACTCCGCAAAGAAATACGATTGAATGTCGCGCATCACTATTTTACAGTTACAACTATTCCAGTGTTTTTCTTAATATCGAATCACACGAGTACCATATGACAAATGAGAGAGAATTCCATAACTAAACATAACATTGTATATGGAGGACAATATTTAAGCAGTAGCCGGGTTTTCTATATTTCTTGAAGCGGTTTATGGAGTTTATAGAACTTTTACAGATATGCGTACACCAATCCCGTTGTAATAAGAGGTGCAACATATAACACAACAAGTAGACTTGTGATCATGGCATTTTGATGATGCATTGGTACCAAGCACACAGCTTACAACACAAAACAAAATGCTTATAACGGTGCTTAATATATATGAGACCCTTCAAGATGCAGCACAGTAGCAGTCCATTATAATGATGATGCGTGATGGTAGCCACTGATTTTGTAATGGTAAACAGTTTACACAGCATAGAGCACAGAGTATAATGATGTTACAGATGAATGCGTGACACATTTATATTCTTAAGTTACAGAGTCAACAATCTACAGTGCAGTAGCCCATTTATGTGATGATGATTCGTGATTGAATATAATAATGGACTGTGGAATCCAATGATGTATACTACTTATAGCTACAGCACACAGAAATTTGTAAAATAATTACATTGTTGAGAAAAGCAAATATCTTCAGTGATCCAATAGGTACTGAACCAATTTAACAATTTGTTTCCAATGTATTTAGAATTCATACATACACAGAGAATTTACCATGTAACTGAGGTATTATCCAGTTAATGCTTCACAATCATCTGAATCGCACTACCATTATATTATCCCGTCTTCATTAGCTCACATGATGCAGAAAAGTAGGACGTAAAACTCCATTCTTTTAATTTTATTTCAATTCCATCATATTATGTTAAAGTTGCGAGATTTTCCTGATATAGCTAAATCTCCACAAGTTTCGCAATACCCTGAACTGAACCATACAAGTGGAACACTCGCTATGAGAAGACTATGTTATCGAAACAAGTAAAATGAAATGTGGAGGAGTAATCCAGTATGGTGATGACGATACAGTTGTGTTCCATTACGGTGATTGGGATTACGTTACCAATTCAAGATGTTGCAGAAGTACTGTATTATGATATCATTATGATTTTAGATTGTGTCGAAGTCTCTAGTGATAATACATGTACCATTATGCTGTTTGGTATTAATGATGATAGACGTATTCAATGATGATACCAGTATACTTAACGGATGATTTAGAAGTATGCTTATAAGTGTTACAGATGTTCTCGAAGTCCTCAGTGATGTCACATTTATTATAAGAGTAAAAGATGTTCTCGAAGTATTCAGTGATGCAATACGTATAGTAAACTCAACGCTATATATACAAAAACAGTTTGTACACTATATACACTAGTCGCTGATCCTTTAAATCCATCTACAGCAGCTGGTCGACCATAATTACCTGAAATATACCACGACAAACGTACGTAATAGCATGGGAAAGTTGTTAGCAATACAGGGAATTAACAGAGACCAAAGACATGGCTGTCTTGATGATGAACCTTTTATACCCAAAGCATGTGTCGAATTTTTCAATTCACTTTCTCTCTATATGTAAAAACATCTTATTCGAATCGCTTTGGGAATCCTGGAAACTAAACCGGTTTGTTGGGGCTAACCATCATGGTTACCTGAAAAGTATTTCCAGATACAGAAAACGTATTAGATCTGCCATACTAATAAAAGTGAAGCTCGAAGATTTTGGACTCTAACCAACGAGCTCGAAGTGAAAAGGACAGAGATATATCTAACCTCTAGATTCTATATAATTAATCCTAGCATCATCTTCGTCTTCATCATCATCTCCATCATATTGTTTTATTAATGGTGAATCCACTTGTTTATCAGATTGTACCACTGGTTTTCTGTCCCGACCCCGACTCAATAAGCCCGGTGTTACTGATATTGTCGATGTGGATTGTGTCGTTGGTTTCCGCACTCGATGTTCTGAAAATATGCAAATCGTAAAAAAAAAAACCTTCAAGACCAGGAAATCTAAATGAAAATAAGCGAAAAGGTACAGACTTCAATCAATGTAATTTTCACGAAATAAATTTGCCGCATTCCTTATCATGCATTGATTTGACTTTGTGTTTCCCATCGAGGATTCTACATAAAATATGATATCGGGTGATATAGAAGAGACATTTCTATAGACACACTGTCCATGGCCACAAGAAGAGATCAAAAAATTATACAGTAAAAGACAAAAAGTGTTTGCTGTACACAAGGACACAGAAACTATTCACGGGTCATATAATTTTGGGCAAGCATTTAAACATTCAATGAATTTTAATACATACCATATAATTCCATAGTATCGGTAGTTTTTCCTAAATTATTCGAGGCTACACACATATATACACCATAGTCTCTTTCATCAAGTTGCACAATGCGTAAACTTAATGTTTTCGTATACATTTCTTCTTCAAAAACTTCTATTCTGTATTTCCAGCTATTAGATAGTTCTCTTCCACGGAATTGCCAAACACTGACAGCATGGGGGAAAGCTGTAACAACACATTCTAATATCGTTTCACGTCCTTTGCTCTGTCCTATCCTTTTAGTTGGTAGACGGATTTCTGGTGGAACTGTAAAGAAAGACATTGCAAATAACCAATCTGATATTAACTTCTAATCGTAGAACATCAGCTTCACTTTAAAGGGTGGTGCTGTTGAACACGGGTATGCTGATAAAGGAGAACGAACAATGGACTTTCCTTCCGTTCACCAATTGAGCATCTGTACATTGTGCAGCAAAGTTTTTCCATCATCCGCTGGTATCCATATCGCTAATCTACGAGTGGTACAACGTCCTTACAGCCTTACTATTTTCTTGGAATGATAAAACGGGTACCCTTAGTATTTGATGTCTCATTTATTTTATCTGGTATGCCAACCCCACCCTTTGTAGTTTTATATGATAGATAATGTTTAGTATTCAGTATTTAGAAAAATAGGGTTGCAATTAGGTTCAATACGTGTGCTTTATTTCAGAAGGTGTATCGATTCTGAAGAAATTCAAAATATTAAGAGAAAGAAAGATATCTTTGTACTTACATTCAACATCGACTCTAATTTGTTTTTTAACTGCAGGTGGTACATTATTATCAGCTAAACATTCATAAATACCTCCACAGTATCGGGTTACATTATGGATGATCAGTTCTTCACCTTTAAATCCTATCCCTGAAATAGCCATATTATTGTAGCTTGAAAGCCCTTTTACACGAGTTGGACTTGGACCCGCGGATTTACTGACCCGGGTTGAGTCCGGAGTTCAAAACTCCGAGGTCAACTCTGTTCGTGTTCACACGAGGACAGTCTGCAAAGTCACAATTTCAGTGAAGCCTGGGCAACCAATAGCGTGGTTGTAGCCATCAGTCGGCATAAACTGCTGAACCCGGGTCGAATTGAGTTCAACCCTAGTGAAGACTGGAATCGGCAACTCCAGTGTGGCCCCGGAGTCGACTCTCGGAGTTTTCGACGTGTGAACAACTGCACCCGGACCGACCCTTGGAGGACCCGGGGATTTTACTCTCGTGTAAACGGACCTTAAAGGGATTAATTGAAGCCTTCGTTTCGTAAGTGTCTACAGTTTTCACTTTTCAAAATATATATAGAACCAAATGGCACAACAAAAACTGTTTAGTTGTCCGAACAGCTACATTATAATATAGATGTCATTTTCCACTTAATACATTTCATTTCAAGTGACAAAAACTAACTTAAATTTTAAGAAACAAAATAAACTAGTGTTTTATTATCATTCATTTATCTTGCTAATTGTCCTATAAGTTTTGTTTCTTAGTAAGTTTATATAACGATGTACAAAGCAAGATCTTAAACGTGTGTGCACACATTATGCAACAAACTACCCTTAATCTGCCTGTTTTGTTCCCAAATTGGACAGCACATTCAGATTTTGCATTGATTACTACAGTTCATATATGACGAAATTGGCTAGAAACTCCTTTCTAGCAGTTTTGCATTTAGATTACTATTTACATTTTACTAATATCATATCCAACAGTGGATTTAAACACCGGATTTTGGCAGTTCATTGTAAACATTTCTATCTACTAAACTAACAGGTTAGTCAAAGTCGAATACTTAATACTTAGTAGCTAACGCTTAAGGCCGATTTACACGGTAAAGTAAGTTGTATACACCTTGCTTTACAAAGCAAAATTTGATGTGTAGAAAGTGCTTAAATGGGCTTTTACTGTCAGCCGAAGTGTCACAGGAATACGCAATTCTTAATAACTAAGTGAGCCTTTTAATAGACAATTTAGCTAATGTTGATTGGGTGAAAAAGTGGGTTAGATTCTAATCCATTGTTGAAGTCTGTAGAAAATGACCTCGCCCCAGTTAATTTCTTGAATAAATAACTTGTAATAATAATCTGGTAGTAAATCACGATGCTGTAGGTTTTGAACTATTTAGCCTTTGCTCATGATAACAATCGTTAATGCATGCAAAAATATTTCCCAATCATAAATCATAACATTAAAAAAGTAAAGTTAATATTTGTCTATTCCCAAAGCGTCTGAAGAAGATTATGACAAGAAAGTTGATCGAGTACAAAGCCTCAGACTGGAGCATCGACTACAGATGACGTCAAGGACGACACATGAACTAATAAATCAAAGATAGACTTTACGATGGACATAATCCAAATCCAATAATTAGACGGTACCGACTTCCTTTCAGTAGGCTGAAGAACGTTATGAAAATGTGAAGTTCAGTTTATAATTAAAATTGTTTGTATGAATTGAAATTGACGGACAGACAGACTGAAACAAATCTCTTATGTTGAAGTTAAACGTAATTAATGTCTAAATGAATAAGTCAGCTGATAAATCGACTGTACTCCAACCACTTGTGGTATTAGGTGTAGATCAAACGGTAGAATGAAAAAACAACTCATAAAAAACCCAGACGAATCTTCACAATGCATTAATAATTCGTGCATAAACGATATATAAGTAGAAAATTAAGATTATATTTTAAAAGCATATGGTGCGTCAACCATCTCAAATAAAATATAGAGGTTCAAGAGCTTTGGCAACTCAGATTACCAAAAGTTTCAAAATGTGGTGAGACAATCATCTATTTTTTTTTTGTATAGATAAATGGTTTCGCTATAATTTGCGTTGCTTTGCGTCCAATTATTATTTTTTTATTTTTTCATTATTAGTTTATATCAGTAAGAAACTCTCCGTTCTCAGTAAAAAATGGAGTTCCATGCTATTATAACAACGTAGATAATATGCATGATGCTAAAATATACAATTACAAAATACTTTAACTGTTAAAATAGTGCTCAATATATCTTATTATTAAGCGATATAGAAATATTAAAATGAAATGAAATGAAAGGAGTTTTACGACCTTCTTTTCTGCACCATGTGGGCTAATGAAGACGGGCAACGCCAAGGACATTTTGCCACGACAGTGCCATTAGTCTGCTCTTTTTCGATTTCCAACTGTCGAGGGATCTTTAACGTGCACAGCCTGTAGCACACGGGGGCTCGGTTTATTGTCCCATCCGAACGACAGCAGGGCGCTTCTTCCGTCAGCCCCTCTTACCTGCATCACTGACAGGGGGAAACTGGGCTGAAAAATCTGTATCATCTCGACCTATGCCGGGATTAGCGAGCAAAACTCTGTAATAACATGGTTATGGTTCTGTTTTAATATTTGATATTAGAATATATGTAAAGCTAATATATGAATCCAATTTTATATCACAAAGCCGATCTGTTCGTCAGATTATAAGCTTGTCATGACGGATGGCTGGACGTTTTAACTGCCTATCTTACAAGGGCTTTAACTACCGACAATGGTTTGGCATAAAATCCCAATGATAAAAAATTGTAACGCAAATGTGGGTTCCATCCAAAACTTCTAAAAATAAAGGCGAATGAGTACGAGGCTGGAAGTAGTGGAATTCATCTCCTTGTCACCCCTCTGATTTTAATGAACTGTTTCAGGCGCGTGCTGAAGAGTTCATTCACTAAATCAGGGTGAATTTTGTTGCCATCAAAACTTGAAGAAGGCCAACCCAGTAATTAAATATGCACAGCTCATCGTCGAGATCTGAGCCTTCAAATCAATGTGTGTCCAGAATTATCCGCGTTTAAAAGTTAAAAAGACGAGTCGTCATTTCTTGAGACTCAGCCATATGTAGAGAAAGATATAGCAGAAATAGAAAGTGAAATTCCTAGATTGAGGTATTTTTGAAGGAATTATTAAGCAATTAACATACAGATCTAGTATCTTTGAAGACTATTTGCATAAATTCAAGGCCCAAATCAACTCCCAAAAATGACGAACCAAGGCCTTTAAATAAATGATATTCTCATGCGACTAAACTGAAGATACATTATCATGCCATGATGAAACTAAAGTAAATATGTAAACTATCTAAATAATAACATGTACATTTATTCAACATATTTAGATTCATGCTTAAAAAATCTGACATTTTCAGATTATAACTTAATAAGTGATTTGAAAACTTCACGATACCACAATGCACAAGGGGCTAACTTGTTAGAACCAGGCCTGTAGACTTAAATTGGAGAGAAGCTTAGGACAGAAGCATGCATATACTTATACACCATACCGAATAACATGAGCAAATAATTGGGTACTTGCCCCTCTTCACTATCTAGGGTAGTGGGACATGCACCCGTCTCCCATGCCGCTCCCCACCGTCTACAGGCCTGTAGAAACTGAATAAACTAAACTAAATATATTGAAAGGGTGACATCTTACTAGATCTGATTAGACATGACTGTAACTCACGCTCTTTTTCATCGCCATCCGTACTCTGTTTTCTATACCACGTGACAGTAGGGCGTGGCACCCCCGTCACGTTACAGATTAACGACACTGACCGCCCCTCTTTGGTTACTATGTGACTTGGTGTTTGAGATCCAATTATTCTGGGTGGCACTGAAAAGAAATTACGATGTTTTTTTTTCAGAAAAAGGAAGAAGTTAAATTTTTAATTGTTAACGAGCACACATGGTCTCGGTTTTAAGTTTTATATCTGTAATGCCTCTGGCCCTTCCTCTTGCTATCGATGTTAAAATTGAAGACAAGTGTGGCCTCTATTGTGTATTTAATGTTCCATGTAATAAAATTAATCAGAGCTGCTTAGCCGACGTAAACATTAAGTGTGTCCAACATCAGAGTTAATTGTGATAATTTTTATTGTGAAAAGAAGTATTATGTGTTCCATGTAATGGCAATAAAATTGAAGAGAGATGCTAAAACAGAATAGAGTATAGATTTATTGACTGTAATGTCGAGACTTACCAATAACATTGAGAACAACTGTTTGTTCTTTAGCTGGTTCAGTATTCACCTGACAGGTGTAGATCCCCTGGTCCCCGTATTTCACCCCTGTTATCTGGAGATTCCACTCTGTAGGGTAGGGCTGATTCACACTGATCCTCCGATCATCTATAACTCTATCTTTTTTATATGTTAATAACGTAGACCATTGATCCATCCACGCTATCTGAAATTACAGAAATACGGCTCTTATTTATCAACAAAACTACGTTGAGAAACATGACACCTTATTACCTTATACGACAAATATTCTAATAGGATTTCATCATCATCTTTCACTGCACTCATTTCAATTTAATCGCATTTTGGCAACAAGATTGCACGCATTTGATACATTCAGACGAGATGTGCACTTTTCTTAGATTGTTAGGGATCATGGTGTACAGCAACTGAACTTCTATGTATTTCATCTATTATGTTTAGTCTTTTTGAGGAGATGAAATTATCACTGACAGTTGGGACAATGCCGATTTTCTGACCGTAGACACAATATATATTTTTTAGTATAAATAATAACCAAATGACACTGACGTGTAAATGGCTGTTTGAATAGGTACAACAATATGCCGGTTCTCGGGACCTCTCTATTATGTCAGTATACAATTTCTAGAGTTAAAACCCCATACATAAATACAGAAATGGTACTTTACCTTGTGTCTGTTGAGATGTGAAACCGAACACGGTAAAACAGCCGTGGAACCTTCAATAACAGTAACATTTACTACTGGCACTTCAAAACTAGGATCTACAGCTACCACTTCTACTGAAAAATACAACAATACAGGTCAGATTTACTAATCTATTTATAAACTGTTGAAATATCTTGAAAGCAGGTTGTCCTTTGTTAAGAGACTTTAACATTTCGATAGATCCCTGGTTCCCAAACACCACAACCTTGATAACCTCCTGCGACGGTAAGAAAATGCTAATATTCCTTCTCTCGACAATCATAAGCATCGTGAAAGAAGTCAATATTACAACCGAATTCAGCTCGGCGAAATCAAATTTCTTATGAGGCTTCTCAGGAATCCCGCGATGTTGTAACTGTACTGGTGGGGATACTTGTAACGATGTTGGAAACCAGTGCCATAAAGGGTTTGACGTTACAGTCAAATAATACCTTTTTATACGCGCACAACTCTCCATGTGGGCGTATATTGTCGGGACCCCTGTCCGTCCGTCAACATTAGCTTGTAAACGCTCTAAAAACTAGATCTTTTAATGGAATCAAATGAAATTTGATATGTGTATACATATTCATAAAACGAAGATCAAGTTCGAATTTGAGCTATTTTTCAACCGTTAGAAGCAGAGTTATTGCCCTTGCCCCAAAATCTTGAATATTTACCATCCGCATGCCGTGGTGGGCGTATATGGCTGTGGTCCACTATCTCAAATATATACCATGACATTCTAATTCTAAGCAAATTGATCAATTGGTCTAAGATCAATTTAGATTTGAGAAATCCAACCATTATTGTTGACAATATGATGTCATTTGGTAATTCAACGATGCACCAGTAACGAAATGTAAATTGCAACTGTGTATTTCTGTACATATATGCCAAGGGCTAAAAGTTAAATTCTAAATTTCCATAAATCGGGCAATACAAATTACAAAGTAAGCAATAAATATGTAGAATTCTGGTCGATAATGAATCATGGCAATATTAATATTTCTTTATGTGCATTTTCAGCCGAATAGGAGTTTATCTTCGTTTCTATGTCTTCACATCTTTGACTCTTGGAATTACAGGGATAGTCTGGTTCACACGTCTGACCTCCCCGAGTAATTCAACAAATTCCGGACATGATTTAAAGATAAATATTGGAAAAGGTCGCCATCTGGTGGCAAAGAGCAGACAATTCTAAATAAAGCAGAAAATATTGGGGAAGGTAAAAGTCACGTGTAAAATAATCAATTATCACCAGAAGTGATTTAAAACTTGAAGATCAGCCTCAAGTTTAATACCAGATTTTATATTTAGCTGTTACATCAAAGAGAAATCATTCTTTATCAGAAACTGTACACTTATGTTTTTATTCAAATATCGGACAGTTTACAATGCAATTAGGATATTACAAAATACAGAGAACAATATCTTTAAGATAAGTGTCGGACACGTATAAACGAAAATCATTCCGAGTCTTCACATCTGTTGAGACATGTAGTAATTAAAATAGGTAAGATCCAGTGTGCATTTGGTCCCCCTTTCCTGAGGTCCTGTGATTTAAAACAGACGTACTAGACAGACAAGGTGATCGCTTGTAATAGTTTGTTCATTCGACATCTGATTAACTATAAAATGAAAGTATAAGTAAGAGCAAAGGTCACAAATATACTTAATCGAACCCAAGCTCGTGGGTTAAACTGATTTTCAGGTATAAGGGAAACATCAGGTCAATTATACGCATATTTACGTTTTTCTTTTTATCTACCCCTTAGCTGCGAGAAATTTACATATTAATGAGGGGTTTTACATATTTCTTTATACATAAACGACCAAAGTACATAACCAGACTTGATTGTTCGAAAGGGCAAGTAATATAGCCGTGCGGGAAATCGTGTATGGTCTTTAGTTTCAGTAATAGAATTGGTCGGCCGTCAGAATTTTTTGGGGTGGCAATCCATTTTCCATTGCCCCACCGCTTGCCCTGGTATATCATCTAGTTTACTGATACTCGTGTGCTGTAAGATGATACATCTGTTTTAAAATCAAACTTACAAATGTATATCTTGTAGATAATATTTTATAATTTGATGAAGATATAGTTTAATAGAGTTCTGATGTCAGCTTCCAACAGTTGTCTGATGTTTCTTATATTATAGAAATATATTAGAAATAATCTGAGGATTTAATAACTTACAACAGAAACTTGTCCATACCTATTATTTATGGAGAAATACAATACTTGAAGAAAATTCATTATTTAATATCGTAAATCAAACACAAGACAGAAAGAAAAAAATCTGTTAATTAAATTCGCAGCATTATTAATATATAAACAGAAAAACTCACAACTTTCAATTTCAGTTCATAAATATTTGATCACTTCGCTTCGTCGTTTCGATTTAGTTCTGACTTTAACGGATGATGATTGAAAATTAAACATCTAAACTCGATACAAGTTGAAATTGAATTTCCACGACCTTCGAGTAATTCTAAACAATATTATACAGTTAGAGCGAGACAAACTAAATTAAAAATAATTGGGAAAATTGGACTGGGGACGATATAGAATTAATGTTAATGATAAAATAACTGGTATTATTATTCTGTTAACATTTATATCCAACAGATAGTTCCTAACAGCTGGTCAGTTATATCGTCATTCTTTAACCCTTTCACTTTCAATCTATAATAATTGAATTTCCAAAATAAATCAAAGTTCATGGGGTTAAGAATCTAGCAGAAATTGTATCAAAGACTGATGTATCAAAAATTGAAAATCAATTCCCATAGCATTCGTTTTTAAGTTCAATTATGATATTTTCATATACGCCAACTTCTTTCAAAATAATTTATATAGCATAACAAAATAATTTCACCATTCAGCATATTTTCATTTTCAAAATGTATATTTCTAATTTTTAGATAAATTAATTACCCAGAAATATATGAAAATGAACCGATTTTCCATGCGATTTCTGCGATCTATTGGACTTATGAAGTCCGACCAACACCATGTATTTTGCACTGAGGGAAATTTTGTCATCAGCATAAGCCTACTGTCGAGGAACGAGGGCTTATTGCCCCCGGACAATATTGATAGTCGTAGAACAGCCGCTTAGTAAGGTGGCTATTCGTACTAATCTTAGCAAGCAACAACCAGTACTTCGCTAAAGGATAATAAGAAACATCAACTTGTTATTATAAGCCTGCTATGAAACGATATTGGTTAATTCATAGTTCTGTTATTAGCATTATAAAGAAAATCAGCAAGTTAAAAAAAACGATTTGGAGTCGAATGATTGGAGGCTACTGTTACTACAGGGAGATCCGAGATATTAAGTTGAATGAAACTGGTGAAAACCTGACATGTGGAAGCAGGTATTGCCTAAAATGTATGCTATGTACCGATATTGGTTAGTCCCCAATGCTACTGTTGCTTTTAGAATTATAATTCTGTCGAGTTATCCTTAACGTGCATAATCTGTAGCGCTTTGGGCCTTGATGTATTTCTCTTGAATAAAGAGAGAAACATAAAGATCTGTACTGACACAGCGACAGGAATTTGACTCCTGCAAGTGCCAAGGCCTGTATGTTGTTTTATTCCTAATGCTGCCATTAGCATCATAAAGAAACTGGAGAAAATCAACATGTAAAATAAAAACGATTTGGAGTCAGAATGATTGTAAGCTCGGGTTACTGCAAGTTACCAGTATAAACTGTAGTGGTTGTCTCTATAGTAACTGATAGTAATTAGATATCACTAATTAACTTAATTACTGGAATAAAATTTCCATCGTCTTCTATCACTCATTGATTTCACGCTTACCCTCTATCAATTGATACTGATTACACCTATTTGATAAATATTAGATAGGAGTAAAACAGTGGAAAGGGAATACTGATGTCGAGCTGTAGACGATCGTAGAGCACTTAAAGGATGACAGCCTAGTAATTTCAGTTTGGAAATAAATCTTATTGCTTACAATGATATGCTGTGAAATGAAAAACCAAATGAAAAATCAAAACCTACCTTAAAAAAATATGTCATTTTGGAAATACATCGCATGAGACCCTATGAAACGAATATATCGATGAAAATTTAAAACATCATAAGGGCGAACATGTATGCAATTTGATGGTGTTTTTCGTACAATAATTCTGGATAAATTTCTAGTGTCTAGGACCAGTTGATACCGAAAAAGACGTTTGGGTCAGATGATTGCATGCGGGTACCTTTTAAGGGGTAAGGGGGTCTGATGTGATGCACTATACGGCCACGATCGGGTTATTTTTCACAGTATCGACGATCTCGCACAGTTAATAACCATCGTACCGGACACTTTTATACCTAAAAGAACTTTGAGAATGGTTCAAGAAAGCATGAATATATGTGTTTTTCCAAGTTTGTCATTTCGGTCTTCTGACGATCAAACATGACTTAGCTATTCTATAGGATTTCGAATATGACCCAAGATTGGTCTGCGCTAAAATGTGTATAGTGACAATAGTATTTAATGGTAGTGGTGGTAATTAGATCTATTAATTATTAGTATAGTTACTATCGACTATTATAATACAATATTGATGAACTATTTATACAATATAGGTTAATATTACCAACTTCCCACTAAATAGACTCTAACGAGTACCAGCTGATATACTGGAAAATTCTGTCCAGTATTTTTTGTCCCTTGTCAAAGCCACATATCGCTGTAGAAGCCAGCGCGAAGTCCTACCAGTATATTTATCAGTTGCGACGCTTTTTGTTGTTTCTGTCGACCGAGTCTTAATTTAACTAGGGGTATAAAACACCTCTAAACAAGAGAAAAGTTTATGGAAGCATGAATATACCATGACTTCATATCACACTCTTACTAAATGATCTACAACCCTCACTCTAAAACAGTTTAACTGAAGTATTGTAAACGATGATGTTATTTTTGAGTGATGAAAGACTAGTTTATGGAAGTTTTATTTATTAGATATATTAATAGTATAGATATGATGCTATGAGCAGACTACACACTCTAGTCGAGTGAGCTACAACCCTCACTCTTAAACAGTTTAACTGAAGGATTAAAAACGTCTCTAAACGATGATGTTATTTTTGAGTGATAAAAGACTAGTTTATGGAAGTTCTATTTAGAAGGATGATTAAACGAGGAACTGAAGCGAATACTTAGATTATTTTCTATTATAAAACCTTAATCATTCTTAACATCGACAAATTATTCCCTCTTTTATTTCTTTCTACAACCATCAAATTATTCATGACTTGACGAGGATTCTTTAGATTCTTTATGATAACTGGGCAGCTTCAATAGTAGACCAACTGGATCATAGTACAAGATTACTAGAATATACTGAGTTCAGAGACTGGATGAGTCAGTCAGAACGAGCTCAGCTATGTATAATAAAGCGAATAAGACACCATTCTTTAACTGAATGAGTCAGTAAGATTGCGTATATCACATTATATATTTCTTTTGACCCTGCAAACTGAGCAGCTAGATTACTAGAATATACCGAGACTGGATGAGTCAGTCAGAACGAGCTCAGCTATGTATAATAGTGGTATTATAATAAAGCGTATATGACACCTTTCTTTAACTGAATGAGTCAGTAAGATTGCGTATATATCACATTATGTATTTCTTTTGATCCTGCAGAATGAGCAGCCCGAAGCTGATCTCAACTTGTCATCTACCAGCCACCAACCAATGAGTATCTTAAACAGAAGACCAACTGGAAGATAGTAAAATGCTAGCACCAGAATACACTTGGCTAAGAGATTGAATAAATCAGTAAGACTGGGCACAACCTAAACTCAATGCCATGTTTCCTTGGAAATCGTTCTTTGTCTGAGATAAAAGACTGAAGATAGACTTCTGCTACAAGAAGCACAGTATATTGGTATCCCTTTGTCTCTATCTACTCTAATGGGACCACCATCGAATTACATAATCATTCTCAATGTCAATATGGGTTTAATAAAAAAAGTTGTCTTCAGCTAGTTTCATAACGATGACTCTATTCGTCACAGAATTCGTCGACAAGAGATATAATAACGTAATTGAGTAAACAAACAGCAATGTACAATGAAACTATCCACAGATTAGCAGTAATCCATCTGTTAAAGGGGGGATCCTAGATCCCATATTGTTCTACCGAAGGATTGGGTATAATTAATGCAAGAGGTGCTACTATCTTGTACATTGTATGACAACTTGTGGACAAATGCGCGGTGGTTTCTTCATTAACGTTCCAGTCAGCGATTTTTCTTGTCAGGGGAGATAATCTGAATAAATGAATGACATGACTGCACTCAAGTTGGATATAAAATATATCATAGAATATTTCAGATGGTAGTGATAACCTATAGCTTTTAAAGTTAAAATACATGAAATATAGCAACCTACGCCCTGTTGTTGATAACATGGGTTGATGGTTATGTTTAATATCAGTGAGATGGATACAGTAAACATTAGGTGGTATATTGAGAGATGGGTGCCGTGGTTATCAGATGGGATGTACGTCAGTCACCATGGTTATCAAATCCTGGGATTAAATAACTAAATATACTTCATACCGATACACCTCACGACACCTCGTGCTTTCCTTCTGTCGATAATCACGATACACACCGACAAATACGGCACACTTTCACCAACAATTTATTTTATATTTCAATCTTATTTTCATGGTACAAGCTGACCAGAAAAACAAAGGCTTTCCGGGCTTTTGAATTTGTCGTTTCTTAGTAGCAGAGACACAAATACACCCTAAGGAACTTTATGGCTTGTTTCTGTCGGATATACATCAACAAAACTTTTTTAAAAATACAAAATTTCATAATGCACACCTATCTCGAAAAAACAGCTTCTCCTAAACCTGGGGTTTGGAATGTGAAGCTACTTAGAATGAGAAGCTAAATTACACCCAACGACACTTCTTGGTTTTTTCCGTGGACAAAATATAGCCAATAACTAGAAGTAATAGATAAGGCAACCTTCGTGTACCGTACTGTAGCTAATAACTAGAAGCACTGAATAAGGCAACCTTCGTGCATCGTACAGTAGCTAATAACTACAAGTACTGAAGAAGGCAACTTTCGTGCAGCGTACAGTAGCTAATAACTACAAGTACTGAATAAGGCCACCTTCGTGTACCGTACAGTAGCTAATAACTAGCTAATACAGTATGTAATTAGTAAAGGTTTACTAGGTTTAATTCATTAAATATCTATTTAATTTATCTGTAGTCAAATCAAAGACTATTTATATTTAATGATAGAATGATCTAATTAGATACGCTCCATAGATTTATCGTATGATACCATCTTATTTCTAGTGAAGTCAACAACGCGCAGTTAACTATCGGCGTCTTTTCACCTTTCCAAAGTAGCAGTCCTGTAGATTTTTTTTGGGTTTTTTTCTGAAACGTGTGTCGGCAGCATGAAATGAGATAATGCATTAGATACGCTCTATAGACTTATTTCTAGTGAAGTCAACATCACCCAGTTAACTGGTTTTTTTTTTATTCCCAAGACGCAGGTAGGTAGCATGAGATGTATTTAGAACCTAGCAGTCCTGGTAGGGTTTTCCTATGTAGCTGTTGTCTTCGTACTGGAAGGTTAACCTCCCTTTTAAAATGCAGCTATTGGCGACACATGGGAAGGTTAAACTTCCTTTAAAAATTTAGCTGTTGGCGACACATGGGAAGGTTAACCTTCCTTTACAAATTTAGCTGTTGGCGACACATGGGAAGGTTAACCTCCCTTATAAAATTTAGCTGTTGGCGACACATGAGAAGGTTAACCTCCCTTATAAAATTTAGCTGTTGGCGACACATGGGAAGGTTAACCTCCCTTATAAAATTTAGCTATTGGCGACACATGGGAAGGTTAACCTCCCTTATAAAATTTAGCTGTTGGCGACACATGGGAAGGTTAACCTCCCTTATAAAATTTAGCTATTGGCGACACATGGGAAGGTTAACCTTCCTTTACAAATTTAGCTGTTGGCGACACATGGGAAGGTTAACCTCCCTTATAAAATTTAGCTGTTGGCGACACATGGGAAGGTTAACCTCCCTTATAAAATTTAGCTATTGGCGACACATGGGAAGGTTAACCTCCCTTATAAAATTTAGCTATTGGCGACACATGGGAAGGTTAACCTCCCTTATAAAATTTAGCTGTTGGCGACACATGGGAAGGTTAACCTCCCTTATAAAATTTAGCTATTGGCGACACATGGGAAGGTTAACCTCCCTTATAAAATTTAGCTGTTGGCGACACATGGGAAGGTTAACCTTCCTTATAAAATTTAGCTGTTGGCGACACATGGGAAGGTTAACCTTCCTTATAAAATTTAGCTGTTGGCGACACATGAGAAGGTTAACCTTCCTTTCAAAATGCAGCTGACCGTATCTCATTGGGAATTGTCTTGTTGTTATAGCCTCGGAGTGGCAGCATTAGAAGAACCTAATATTCTCTTTGTTGACTTCTCACTCGTTTTCAATGCATTGGAAAACGAGGTTAACATTCCAATATACGACTTGAGCACAGTAATTGAACTGGGATAGGAGCAAGTGGAAAGATTTGTGTATCTTTTTTATTCTCAATATATACAGATAATTGCAGTCTGATTGCGAAATCTAAATATTTTTGAGATTATCATGTCTTACGTGAAATGGACGTTAAATTTATGTTTGGCTTTAGAGAAGATTATGGTTAATGTTACAGAGACCCCCATTACAGACGCATAAATCATCATGATGAACCCTAATTAGTGGGAATGAAAACCCTAGGGTACCCTTTTAACATTAACTGCATCTCTTTTAATTATATTAATCCATACAGAAGCCTGCAGTAAATAACAAAATGGTTTTCAGACGTTACGTTAAGCATGGTCCGATCTTCCCCACTCTCCCCTACTTAAAATTCCCGGGTGTACCATATTTACACACATTTAACTTGGATTAAACTTGGCTATAAAATACCAGGAATTATTTAAATATGATAATTGTTATTTATCTATTTAATAA